CGTCTGCCTGATCCAGCCAGCCGGATCGCATACCGAGGCGATCTGCGCTGTCTGTACCAGGTAGACGCGGCATGTTAGAGGGCCCCCTGCTGGAGCCTCCCGAGCACCCCCGTGAGGAGCAGCGGCCGCACCATTCACAGAGCCGCGTGGGATGCGGAGGGCGGGCGGCCGGGTGCAGGTGGCAGTGGCCGGGGGTCAAGGGGCCGTTCGCGGTGGCATCAGAGAGGCCCGGGGGGAAATGGCCACCCTGCCCCCTGGCCCAGTCCGCCCCTGCTCTACTCCACCCCGGGGGAACAGAAGGTAGCAGCATATGCGGACGATCTGATTTTCTTCCTCACTGACCGCCTGACATCCACGCCTCATCTGCTAGATGCCCTCGCAACCTATGGGCGACTATCAGACTTCAAAGTGAACCTCTCTAAGTCCGCCGCCCTGAACATCACCTTACCGCCCACTACACTCTCCCGCCTACGGACGGATTTCCCCTTCACTTGGGCTAGGGACAGCCTTAAATATCTGGGGATCCACATCACGGCTGATCTCCGAGACATCTACGCTGCCAACTTCGTGCCCTTACTGGCAGAGGTTACCAGAGACTTGCGGGCTTGGTCTGCACACACCATTTCCTGGTTTGGCAGATGTGCAGCAATTAAAATGTTATGGAGTGTTATGCAACTCCGACACTTTTTGCGAGCCATCCCTAATCCCCAGAACCTGGATTGACCCCTTTACTGACTACGAGATGATGTGTACGGGGACAGAACCCACACGACATGCAATATCCCTTATTTACAAACTGATCAGTGCACCCGCCTCCACCTCCCACCCATCGTTTTTGCAGCAATGGGAAAGGGAACTAGGATTCGTCTTTACCGAACAACAGACCCGAATCATACTCACCATGTCCCACAAATCATCCATGGCCAGCAAAATTCAGGAAATGGGCTACAAAATTCTATCCCGCTGGTACAGAGTACTTTGGCTTTTACACAAAATGAATCCCGTGACCCCTGCCCAGTGAGGTGTGGTTCAGACTCGGGCACGATGTTACATACCTTCTGGTCATGCCCGGTCCTGAAACCCTTTTGGGATCAAGTGATATCTGTCATTCAAGACCTGACCATGACGGACCTCAGGGATAAACCGGCGGCGTGTCTGCTTCACATGTCGACCGCCCCACTCTCAAAATACCGAAGGTCACTCACGCGCCACCTGTTAGATGCTGCTAGAGCCACTATTCCCCTGCTGTGGAAACAAACGAGCCCGCCCACCATCTCGTTGTGGCTCTCTAAGATACGTGAGGTGTATACTCTGGAACATCTGACGGCCTCCCTCAGAAACACTGAAGGGAAGTTCTTGACCACCTGGGGTCCATGGATCTACTTCCAACACTCCACCACATACGCGGACCTTATGTCAGACTGACACCGAGGCCGCACTCTTGGGAGACATGGTGGCCTTCCTGGGTCACACTGCCTGAGGGGACCTCCCCTGTCGGGACCCTAGCTCCTCAGCTGTCGGAGGTGGTGGATCCCTCCTTGGACGGGGACCCTGGCAGCGATTCAGGATCATACCCATTCTTCTACCCTTTCCTTCCGCTTGTGCCTACTACTCCCCTCTGCCTACTCTGCTCTTTCCTTGCTAATACCTACCTTTACTCCCAGCATTTGCGCCTTGGATGAGGCTGAGTTCCAACTTCCCACAACATGGTTTTTACACTATATCGTTGATGACACTCTCTGCGTTCAGCGGTTCAATACAGTAACGATTATCACAACGCAACTGTGTCCCGACTGCAGATTCTCACTAATGAAAGTATGTTGAACACTCTTACTAGAAATAAGTTAAAGGTTCTGTTTGATGATAACTGAAAAGTTATGTAACCACGAAATGCTTCTACTAGAACTGTATGTAAAGCACAATAATCACATGTGATTTGATGGTTGCATATTACGATTTTTGTTCAAACATTAATGACTGTAACCTTGTTTTGATGACCTGTCAGCTAATAAACGAATAAAAAAAAAAAAGAAAAGTGGTGCTACTGCTTAAGAAAGAGACACATTCTGGTGACATAAAGAAAAATGAAACATCTATGTATAACTTACACATCAAGTACTTACACTGCTAGCAGTTGCAAAAATGCATTTAATTATGTATTAATGAATACAGAGCTGCATTAATTTGTGCCTTTGTATCTGCTTGCAGTTAATTTTTATTGTATACCTGTTATGAGAGAAAAATGAGGGCTACCACTGCTGGTCTCTTTCATAAATACTAGTTGTCTGGCTGTGTCTGGCTTTGTACTTCTGAATCACAGAAATGGAACAAGCATACTGCATATAAAAAGAGGAAAGTCGTAATTCCTTATATCCTGGTTTCGGGTCAGTGGCCAACTATGCGCTGGTGGTGGGTTGTGGAGTGGTAATCATCGAGCAGTGCTCTGTTATATTATTGATATTATATTACCCTGCAATAAGCTTCCATGAATATACAGGTGAAACTCGAATAATTAGAATATTGTGCAAAGTTCATTTATTTCACTAATGCAACTTAAAAGATGAAACTAATATATGAGATAGACTCATTACATGCAAAGCAAGATAGTTCAAGCCGTGATTTGTCATAATTGTGATGATTATGGGTTACAGCTCATGAAAACCTCAAGAACCCCAAATCCACAACCTCAAAAAAAGTAGATTATTACATGCAATCAATAAAACAAGGATTGTACATAGAACAATATCGGACCTCTGAAAAGTACAAGCATGCATATGTACTCAGTACTTGGTTTGGGCCCCTTTTGCAGCACTTACTGCAATTACTTTTGCACGATATTCTAATTATTCGAGTTTCACCTGTACTGTTGATCCAATATTCTGTCACCTGGTAACATGGTACTGTCTTCACAGGGGCGCTGACACTGGCATTGGTTATCGAAATGTGTAGTCACTCCACTCGAGCTGCAGTGTTTGTGATCATTGGCTGTTTGAACTGGACTAATTTCTATTTAATTGGGATGGCCTTTCCTTTCATACAGGTGAGTATATGACATCATGGCAGAAAATCGACCATTGCATGTTTATATACTGCAATGACAGGAATAATAAGGACATGCTCCATTTATCCAATGTAAAGACTTATTTATTTCTTTATTTTAAAAAATGTTTAACGTGACTGAAGTGACTTTAAAATGTTCATACTGTATGTAGCATTTACCATATGTACATACAGTACCTTGTAAAATGCATCATTAGTGTACTGCCTTTTCTTACAAAGCAGTCAAGGGTCCTTTCTTAGACTCTTGGAATATAAAGTAGGTTGTTGAGCGCATGATACCATATCCCCCTTTGTTTATATTCTGTTCCTTTTTTTTTTTCAGGGTGCTCTGGGCCATTACTGTTTTCTCATCTTCCTTTTTTTTATTGCGGCCTCTGGAACCTTCCTCTTCTTCTTCCTTCCTGAGACAAAGGGAAAAACTACTCAGCAAATCACTTTGGAATTCAACAAATTGAACTTTGGAGGACAAAAAGCACCAAAATCAATAGAGCTTTCCACCAGTTTGTGAGCCATCATGTGCACATATTATGATAGTACCCTAACAACAATTGCATTGATAGGCCTTGGTTTATATCCCAAAGTAAAGATTGTTTGGACATGGTATATCTTCATGAATATTTTGTTACTAAAAGGAAACCTGTCCTGAAAGAAAAAGATGAGCTACAATTGCTGATCTGCTTTTGAAGATGCTAGTTGCTGGCTGTCAGACTAATTCTCAAACTCTCTGAATCACTGATCATGGACAAGCTTGCAGCAATGAAGTCAGAGTTCTGATCTACTTGACCTGAGTCAGTGACTTAGGAAGTATAAAAGACAAAGGGCCACGTGATGGGCCACACATTGTATTTGAAGAAGATAATCAACAATGGGAGCCCATAAATGTATCTCTAGATATTTGTATTTCTGTTAATAGCTGTTTATGTCTTTTCCATTTTTGGTTAACCAGTAACAAGAATACACCACATTATAGTTCTGTTCTGTTCTGTTGCTACACACAGGGAGCCTTGCCACATGCAAAACTCTGCTTTTCCTAATACTGCGAGCTGCCTTTATAAATTTTAACTGCAGAAGCAGTTTGGAGTACCTGCAATTATGAATGGTTGTCTTTTCAGGTCTAAAATGCTTTATTGGGACTTTTATATCCGGGCAGACTGAAAAAGATGTTCCGCAGTTCCTTAGATGGGGGCTTTGTCTCTTTATATTATTACCATAAAGATGTAAGATTCCTTTCTGGTGAAAAGCACACTTTGTCAGTTATATTTTTTCTGATCAGCATTTCTGATTTTATTTGCATTTAACCCAGATTTATCATTAGACAAACAGAGCTGTGCCTATAGGCACCAGATTTAAACAGCGAGCTCTGGTTATGAGTCACACAATTTGTTCCCATTTGGTAGGACTACAGATATCACAAGTATGGTCAAATGAGTACAAAATGTTGTGCGTTTACATGCTCTTGTGTGGAAATCCAGCACAGTTTGCATTCTATTTCAACATGATGTGCTACACATAGGGCAAAAAAAAACGTTCAATAGTGGATTTTGGAGTGAGCTATTAATTTGTGGATGTGTAGTAAATGAATCATTCTAAGAGTCAGAGTTCAACTACAGCTAGAGGTTCAGTATTGCCCACAAGTGACACACAGGGCAGCTTTGTTATAACAAGTAGATGAACTGTATTAGGGGTTTTGCTGAGTCACATTGATAAGGAAAAATCAAGCAGGTTACTGATTACAATTGCTGGTCTCTTCTGAGTACCTTTCCTCCAGTTACATCACATAAAATAAGATCTCTATCAAGTATTAACAGCAGTAGATACAGTATACAGAGAAATCATTTCCAGCAAAGGTATCTCATCTCACAATTATTCTGAATACTGTTTTAGTAAGATTAAACGTTGTGTCATTGCCTTTGCAGAAGAAAATATACTTATTCCAAATATGTTTTTAAATTACTGCAGCAACTTCACATTGCACATAATGGGGGGAATTTATCAAAATTGGAGCAGACAGAATCTGGAACATTTACCCATGGCAACCAATCACCTTCTCTCTTCAGTTTGTTCAGTAAAGCTCTAAAAATAAAAGATAGAAGCTGATTGTTTTGCAACAGGCAACTGCTCCAGACTTTGTCTACTCCACTATATGTACAATTTACCATGTGTACATACATGTGGCACAGTGGCGTAACAATCGCCATAGCGACCCAGGCGGCCGCTATGGGCCCCGTGCACAGGGGGGCCCAGCCAGGCATCCCTCTGATGCCGTGTGGGCCGCCTTGGTCGCTATGGCGTTCCCACTCACAGCCGCAGCGGAGCTGTGTCAGTAACAGCCAGCAGATGCGGCAGAATAGGCCGGTTACACCGGTGTTCTATCGATAGTCCAAACTTATCGAGTTGTGGGACCGCATGACTTCCGGTCCCAGAACTCGATAGGTTCAAACTTTGATCGATCACCGGCATTTGCAGTAAAGAAGGAGGCGGGGCCCGCCTAACAGCAACCCCGCCTCCTCTCACATCACTGGCCAGCGATCTAAGAGCAGGTGGGGCCAGTGATGTAAGAGGAGGTGGGGCCCGTCGATAGATGGAGGCGGAGCCCAGGAACAGAAGAGGAGGCAGTGGCCCGGCGGCGGCGACCACGGAGGTGACAGGTAAGAAGCGTACAGCGCAACTGAGACCTTGCAGAGCCCACCATAGAGAGTATATGGTGGGCTCTACAAGTGGCATAACTAGCAATCACGGGGCCCCATACAAAATTTTGCTATGGGGCCCTGTGATTTCAAGTTACGCCCCTGATGTGGCATGTGTAAATATTACAGCAGAACCATGATTTCACTGCCTTTTCTTACACAGCAGCTGAGGGCAGGTTGCTGAGCATGATGCAGAATACCTCTTTGTTCATGTCCTCTTAGAGTGGCAAGACTGGTACAAGACATCAGAAGGGCAACAGTGCAGTGTCAGATTCCTCGCATCACCTTTCAACATTTCGTGGAGGGGTGGTCATAATAATCTGGCGGCTGGCCACCTGATCTGCAACCTTTCACCCTGTACATGCTTGGACATTTGCACAAGCAGCAAAATGGGGAGTATGGAAGTGGAGTTCATCTTGCTATGCAGTAACAGTTCATCAATAAAGGCACACATTTTGATAACTAGATATCCGACAGTTTTTGAAAACTGGTACCTCGCTTCATTCAAGTTCATTGGTGCTCTTCCTTCAGTACTGTGCAGCAACACCGTTAGCAGGAGATCTGACAATTGCAGGCTGTATAATCTTACAACCAATTTTTATAGCTGGCAGTGCTGGACCAGAGTCATAGACAGTGGGCTGACAAGATATTGACTGCTTACTTAGACTGCCCCAAGGTCCATGAAAAGTAACCAGACTATCAGAGTTCATGATTTAGGTCTTGGTAACAACACAGTCTCTGATGCCACAGAATAAGTTTAACGGCCATTGCCATTAGATATTAGAAGTCCCCTCAGACTGCATATGTAATACACTTATAATTACATATTATTCAATAATGAAGTAGACAATTCAATTAATTCATCCTTGCTGTTAACATTGTGTTAACACTGGAAGAATATTATCCAAAGCTGCCACCAGGTGGTGATATCATTTGCATTCCTTACCATACTCAGATATACAGTTTTCATACAGTGTAATTTAGTTGTTCAATTATTATTTCTCAGAAATAGAAACAGATTATTATTTCAAAAATTTCACAGGAAGCACATTTTATTTACTTAATGCTCATTGAGTTCATTTTAAACTATTGTTTTTTGAAATTTCAGACCGTACCATCACATGTACCATCACATGCAGCTTTAAAGTTGAATTATAGGTATCGATAGACCTGAAGTGTTTGTGAGCAGGTGAGGTTGACTGACCACTGTCGGTGTGTACAATAGTGATTTGGAAAACAAATTAGTAGATTTTTAGTAGCAAAATTATTGGTCTCACCACGCTCAAAGGGTATTTGACTAGTCTTGCATCAAGCAGCCCTACACCAGCTGGAATGATTGTATAGGAACTAAGCGTCTGCATGATCTACTTTTTGTTAGTCATTGAGAGAAGTTAGAAAACCCATCCTAAGCTTTATTGTTATTAGTGATAAGCCAGCATTGGTCACTTTGTCTACGCTGACATTACAATTCATGCAGAGCTTTGCAGCAGGCCATAGAAATTTGGACCATGGGCGTTTGGGTTGTAACTGCACAGACAAACTGCTCTCTCAAATTTTTGAGCAGCTTTATATGCACATATGAGGGAGCTTGGTAACAATATTTGCAATTCATGACAAGAAAGTTAAACTTTTAAAAACTTCTTTAAATCTAACTAATAATGTGATTTGGTAATGCCAATCTGCACTAGATCACATGAAGTGTCATTTTTCAAATTAGGTCCACTTTATAGGGGCTCTCCATGAAGCATAACTTAAAAGCACAGCAAGAGGTATCTGACATAATCATTGTTACCTCCACGCTGCCCTTTCCTAGTTTCCTGTTCTCACACTGCAGCAGTACTGTTAGTTCAGTGCTGGTCCATGTACTCTATACTTCATGTCCCTACTGTTTCATAAATAAAATTAGTCATTGCAAATGGCAGTCAATGGGGTCATTAACAGCGACTTATTTAATTGCAAAAGATCAGGGACCACAACTAGAATGCACACTAATCATGAGCATTGACCTAAGAGTACCACTGTACTCGAGCACAGTTTTCAGAGAGCTGTGACTAGGAAAGGTAATTAGCACTTTACACTAACCTACAAATAAATGTAATTTAAAAAAAGGAAGGGAATATATTAATTTCCACTGATTTGTACACAATACTGAAGTAAACACATAAACAAGCACACAGAGGGGAAGTAAATATTACAGCAGAACCATGATTTCACTGCCTTTTCTTACACAGCAGCTGAGGGCAAGTTGCTGAGCATGATGCAGAATACCTCTTTGTTCATATGGCCATATGTGGGTCCTTGGAGCTCCTATCCTATTTGCTGAATTAACACTGCCATGGAGATATAAACCAGCTTCCGAGACACAGAGGAGTTGCCAGGGAAGAGAAGGAACATTGTGGCATGCGATGGGCCAGTCACAGCTTCCTTAGGAGATCTATCTCCCTGACAGGAGAAGCAGCATATAGGCCAGCCCACACCTAAGATGACTCCTGTAACTGGCATGCACTGCCGATCACTCATGGGTCCCTAATATGTCTCCCAGCACCCACTCTCTGCTTTCTATGGCAGGAGACCTAGAACCAGATTGGGACATAAGGGCTTACATTAAAGGTCTTGAACACATAATTTAAACATGAACTTAATTCTCTTAAAGCTGACACCACACAACTTGATCACAGACCTGAGGTTGACAGTTTATCTACCTTGATGGGGCCTCACTAAGCCTTTTTCCTGACTTTTTCCAAAGCACTTAATGAAAAGAGCCCTGCTGGAACAGCTGCACGAAAAGGGATCTCCTTTCACTGGGGATTCCTCCTTTTGCCTG